ATACATATACATACACATACATATGCATAAACATATACATATACATATACATGTACACATACATATACAATAGCGTCCACATATCTGCATAATGTGTGTGCGTATGTGCGTGTCTATATGTACGTACGTACGTACTCACATGGGTCTGTTTGCTTACACACATGCGTGTGCATGTGCACGTGAGCAGAAAACAAGCGGTCTGCACGTGAGCAGAAAACAAGCGGTCTACCCCAGCAGCCAGTAAACATGCTTGCTGGGGTGCCAGCGCAGTGGCACGATCGGGAGGTAGCGTTTTTAGCAAGAACTTCCTCAATGCGTCACTGCCTACATCACCTGCATGGCGCTCTTAAGGGACCCTGGAGGTACAAGAGAGTTTGGGGATTGGATTGGAGCACGAAGAAGCAATGAGAACGTATCACACACGCTGTGCCACCCTGGACTCACTGCTTGCAGTTTCATGTCCTAGACAATTGTACCAACATGAGCCATGTCATCTGAGACTGTCCCAATGACTAGCGGCTAGCGAGTACCTGGAACACTGGTGTCACTGGTGCCTGTTGCATCCATTTTCTCGTCATGGTGGTGTGCCTTGCTTCAGTAAGCAGAACGAAATTCTTTAGCATCATGTACTATGTGGGCCTGTGACGAACGCCAAGTCCCGGGCAATGATCGAAACCCGCGCAAACTCTTCCCCTCTCGAGGTTGTGCTCGGCGTGGGGGGGAGTGAACCTGAGCTTGTTTCCGTCCCTGACACAGCCTCAACAAAATCAGCCGAAGCTGGTGGGATCCCGACTGTCGGATGCGTCATTGGCAGGATCCTTGTCAGGTTGCACAACTTCCGCGGGCGACCTCACAGTGGGCCGTGCTGGTTGAACTTGGTTGGCACGACTGCCCAACGGAGCTCCCAGGCCGTGACAGCTCTACGGGTGCCACCAGCTCGCTGAGACAGCCAAGGAGGTGATCCTGCAGCCAGCCTTACAGCGAGATTCAAGGGTAAAAAAACAGTCTTTGGCTGATCGACGCCAGTGGGCGCAGGTCTCGTGAGAGGTCGGCACGCGCGTCGGCAACATACTACAAGGTGCGGGACTGAGGATGCTGCAGACCAGCATGTGCAGGCACTTTCCTCTGCAGTGCTGTCCCCACCCCCCAGGTTGGCACAGGCTCGGACAGCTGAGAGTCGAAAGAAATGGGCTCGTGCATGTCCACGAAACGGCCACTGCTATGCTTCTATCTCGGTAATGTCTACTCTTACTTTTTCGGGAACTGGGAAAGCGTCTGTCTGTTCAGGAGTACAGACAGGGCTTAATTCAGGAAAGTCTATCCTCTATACAGCTGCTACAAGAAGTCAGAAGACAGGAAAAATCGGCTCCTGAAGCTGTGCCATGATCACGGAGGAAGTTCTGGATGTGGCTGCGCCTGGAATGGAGCTTCAGGCTCTGTACAAGCATGACAGCAAACGACATTCGCAGCAAATGCCGTCAAGCTGAATCCTGCAAGCAACACCAATCCAAGACAAGAACAAAGTCGGCGGATGTCGGGGGAAATTCGGCAGAGGGCGGCCAATGCCAGTCGCGGACGAAGTCTTCTGCAGAAGTCCTTCGTCTGGGGCCCAGGCAGCCGTTCCTGGACTTCGAGGGGCCACGGTGAGTCCAATGTTTCGTGCCTCAGAAATTCCATCTCTCAAGTCTCCAAGGGGTCTCTGAGCTCGTGAGCTCCGAGAGAGCACTGTCGCTTTCCAGGGCTTCGGCACCATAATCTGCGTCGGCTCAGGTGGTCGATCTCAGAGGACATTGCAGGCTTTTCTCGCCCAAGGACGGCTGGATACGGCGTGCTCAGCGTGGGCTTGGGCCGTGGCTTCCTGAAGGATACGTATGCCTCGGACGGCTGCGGGGACAGGCTCCCTACGAGCCTCTACTGAAATACTCGTCTTTGAGTGAGGGTGTCACGGCAACTCTAGCCGAAGCCAGACGTTGTGTTGCCTGTCCTTCAGCGACACCTGTCAGGGGCGTCGAAACGAGCTGAGCATGGAGCGCCCCATCCCATGAGCCTCAAGAGAGCGCGGAGCCGGGGCAAAGCTTCCAGTGGCGGCCTCGCAGTTGGCACAGTCGATGCTCCTGACTCCTGAGAGTGTTGACGAAACCTGGCCTCGACGTTGTCCGGGAAGGCAGCGACCAGGGCTTCTAACTCTAAGTCTTGCTGCCGGACCATCTCCTCCAAGCAAGTGCCGAGCTTTTGCTCTAGATGCCCATGCCCAGTCTCCCAAATTGAAGCTTCGGCATGAGAGAGGTTCCGTCATTTTCATCAGGACCCTCTCAGACATCACAGGGCACGGGCATATGCTCAAACATGTATATTATATGGGACGGACGGTCGGATCGCCCAGAGATAAAGTTTCACTCGCACCGAATCCCCCGGCACATGTTTTGTGATCTAGCCATCTCGGTTGCTCGGGGCCTACTGTGGTCTGGGAGCCACGGTAGCTAGACGGATTTGTGAGTCTACTGCCGGATCACAGCCCCCACCCGTCTCCTGGCTCCAAACCCGGTTCGTGGGAGCGGGCGCTCTGCAAGCAATTTCTCTGGCGGATGAATTAGCGACGTGAGGTAATATGCCCTTCCAGCAATGATGTCACGTCAGGCCGCGCATGCTCCATCTTAGTGAGGCGCGTCGGATCGTATTCGTTGCCCTACATGTGGCACAAGGTTGCGCAAACGCGAAGCCCAGCACGGAAGACTGGTTGGCTGCTTCTTTGCCACATCCCCACCCTCGTGACACCTCGGAAAAGCCCAGGCTTTGCCGGCTGCCGCGCTTTTCGCAGAGCAGTGCGGTTGCATCCAAGGCCACCTGTCATCTCAGAGTTCTCAGAGCCATGGCGAAGCCTGAACTCGACTCCATCTCGGGGTGCCTCATAGCTTTCGAGGTTACCTCGGAACTCGGGCTTCAGCACAGCCTGCAAGTCCTTGGCTCAACCGAGAAAGCTCCCAGGCACACCCACTTTGCATGCAGCTTGCGCCTCCCAAGCTGCGTCGACACCTCAGGCGGGCTAGTTGGACACTTTGCATCTTTTTGTAGTAGCATTTTGACTTCCCTGAGCTCCAAGCTGTCGGGGTCGTCGGCCTCCCTAAAGCACAGGGCTACCTGCTCTTCGCGAAACTCCCAACACTAAACGTGTACTGGCGATCGTTCACGCAGATTGCCTCCTTGCGTGCACGCAAGGACACGGGGTACTTGGAGCTCAAGGTGAGTTCCTGCAACCTCTTGCCTCGGTTTCACGGCAGTGCGATTTATCTGCCCCCGAATCTGCACTTTGGCAGTCCATGCTTCCGTCCCAAGTTCCAAGCGCAGCTTGCGAACCTCGGGCCCCAGATGCAAGTGATGCGGCTTGGGTGGGCTAGCGGGCTACCCATGTCTGTAACTTTCAGATCTGTGCTTCCCGGCATTCTTCGGGTCATGCGGCAGGACAGCTCGTCTCTCCCGCTCACCGCGCTGGCGCCGGGAGTGTGCCTCGCAGAGCCTGAGGGGCTTCGGACGAGGCAAGAGCTGGGATAGGACGAGCTGAAGCGTTGCAGAGGCGACGCATGGCCGTTCTCGTCACTCGAGCACCTGACTGAACTACTTGCTCGACAAGTCCAGAAGAGTTCATTGCCTCAGATGTTCTCGCTCCAGTCGACTCCTTCGTTTCTCGTGCCGCAAAAGAGAGCATCTTCAAAGCCGAGGTCTTCTGCCCATGGATGTATGAGGCAGTCGTCCAGCGATAGCCGGTCCTGTGTATCCGGGCCTACCTCTCTTTGCATCGTCAGCCCCACGATGCTTGAAGCAAGGGTTTTACCGCAAGAAGATCCCTCCGACCTCTGGCTTGACCTGCAGGAGGCTCCACGTGAGATGTCTGGCCAGGTTGCCTCAAAGCCAAGGAGCCGCCCTTGAACGACTCGATGTGTTGCGCAGCTGCGGGGGGCCCGGCTCAGCTTGCAATCATCCTGGAAAGGAGGCAAAGAGGCACAGCGACTCCAACGGATCTCTACTCGCCCTCCTGAAAGATGAGCTTCGGAATATCGCAGCGGCTACGGCTGGGGAAGGGAAGCCTCAGCTCCATCAGGAGTCTTGATTCGCGGTTGAGGTAGCGGTGGGGGGGTGAAAGGCGCAGCTACTGCTAAATGGGACAGGGGCCAAACTCTGAAAACTGAGGACTCCACACTCCCTCCACCAGAACGAACAGGATGACACCCAGGCTCCAGACATCAATCTGGCGAGAGGACTCTGCTCATCTTCCGCTGATTACACTTCTTTCGATTCCGATTGAACTGGCCAAGCAATTTTCAACAAGTGAGCGAAGGACAGGTGTCCTGAGCAGCAGCTGGCATGGACAGGAGAGCAAGAATAAACCAGACCGATCTGAGCGCCCCCAGCTAATCAACTGGAAGGGCCACCCTTTCGTCGTAGCCGCCCGCAGAGGCATTGGCAACCTGATACTTACAACAGAGCTAGATGCCCGGTCACCACTCCGACATCAGCTTCAGACAAAGCCATATTCCCGTTCTGCTCAACCGACACTCCCTTTCTATAAACGGGGACTTGTAATTTCGCAACGCAAACAGAAGCGGCTGCACCTCGGGAGCCCAGTAGTTCGGAGTTCCCACCTGCACTGCGCCAAAACTGGGCTGTGCCGCTGGCACTTAGATTAGAGTCGAAGGCTTTGCACTGTGGAAGTGAAAGCAGGGCATTGAAACCAGTCTTTCTTCCACAAGCACATCCTTTGCGGTTGGCTCAAAGATGGTCCAAACAATTCTGAAGGCCGACCCTCTAACACAATGCCTCTGCACCGCAGCTGATCTGGGGCCAAGGCCACCAAAGACACACATCATCGCACTCGCTACGTCTACGTCCCGCCCAATGGCGGGAAAAGAATGAAACTTACAGCACCAGAGGCGGCGCTGCGGTGCTTCACGGCAGTATTGAAATGACGTCAGATGGACAGCACAAGCGAACACCAAAACCGGCGGGCTCCGCTTCCAAGAAGCCTGCGCCCGGAAAGTCGGTTACGGGTCAGGAGATCACGACCCTCGAAACAGATACGGAACTCACGCAGCGAACTCGTTCTCCTTCCAGGCACACAATGATCAAGGGATCTTACACTGGAGCCTTCCTGGCTCGCACTACGTCCATCGCCTAAACTTGCTCTTAAAAAATGCGGGCGTGCTGCCTCTGCACATGCCATGTCTTGACCGCGCAGGGAAGTTCTTGTACTGTTGGGTCTCCAACCAAACTTCCATGTGCAGCCAAACCGCAATGGTGTTAGTCCAAACTGTTTAAAAATGTGTGCTGTTCGTACCATCCTACTACAGCTGTACGACAGTTTCCAACAAGAAAAATTCTTATGTAGAGGTGCGAGTGAGAAGGTGAACGAACACAGAGGGCATGACAATCTCACTCCCATCCATGCTGGCTCATTGCGAATATCGTCTGAATCCACTGCAAGCAAAGATCCTTACAAAGAAAGACTACTTGGGCCATGCGGCTTGGCTGTGGCATGGGCACTTGGAACATGTGCACTAGTTGGTTTGAATTGAACGGAGTTTAGCATTATCAAAATGGGCCAAGGCATTGGTTTAGACCTCCACACACACTGGCCGCAAGCCCCAAGTGTCATTCATAACTACAGGACTTCTTGTACCAATGCTCTTTGCTGTCCCAAGACACCGTGCTACTCTGCTGGATAGTCCGCGTGTGTCGGGAATTCAAACCAACTGGAAGATTACGACGCGCATAAGTCCCTCAGAGCATACTTCTCGGTTCACCGCTGGCGAATTCGTTGCCCTCAGCACGATCCATGCGTCGACTGCTGGCATCAGGTTGCTTCGATGAGCCCATCCATGCCAGTCCCACTTTCACAACACGCCCGGGACCAGCCCGAGGCCATACTCCCACCAACTCATGAACTACATGTTGCTCTATGCATATGTAGCCAGGGCTACATGTGCACCTTAGCCTGATTCATACCGCGATAGAACTGTCAAAGGCCCAGGAGCCGCTAGTCACTAGTCTCAATGCCTCAACACAGCAAGCTGTCCTTTGCATACTCCAAGCCGGCTTCAATCTCCTCCTTGAGGATTGGCATGAGGGCGTCCAGGCGCCCTTGCTCCTGAGCCGTCTGCAAGGCTTGATTGATAGTACTAAAAATTATAATAATCATAATAACAATAATAAATAGATAAATAAATATAAATATAAATATAAATATAAATATATATATATATATGTGTGTGTGTATGTATATTGTCAGGACAGCTCGGTCCAGGCCATGCCAAGATGTTGTCGGATATCGGGTGTGACAGACTTATAGAAGCCGGGCCGTCGTAGCATCTCTGCTCCCCACTCCAAAGATACGCACGAAAATGACTCACCAGTGCAGAGAAGGTGCATACTCATTCAGCTCCCCGAGAGGATGGACTGTCTCCACACCCTGCTTGCCGAAGGTTACCTCCAAGATGGATTTGGAAACGAGCTGCTGAGTCAGATTAGGCCTGCGGCCTTGGATGCAAAGTATGGCAGCTCCGTCACCTTCGACTCAACGTAGGCGCACCTCGGCACTTGCGACTGATTTTATCACTTTCGTCGCTGGTCCAGCTTAGCTGGACTATCACAAAACTTGCTGGACCTTTCTTGATTTCTCGTGTGCGAGCTCCGGAAAGAGAGCTCCATGCACGGTCAAGACACTCTGTGGAGACCTCGCCGTTCAAGCCAGCAAGGACTGCCTGCGAAGAGTTGACGGCAAAGCGACGCGATGGCGCAATTTTCTTCTCAAAGGCGCCTTGCCGAGGCGGGCTCCTGCATAGGCCATGGACAAGGTGGCGCTGCCCTTGCCTCAACGAGACTGGCAAACTCGCAGATGCGAACGCGCCGAGTGTGGAAGCGGAACGAGAGATCACGACCCGCATTTCAAATGCCTCCACGACCCTATTCGACTTCGACTGTTGCCACAGCACGCGCCGGTGACAAATGGCCCGCGGAGAACCACTGAAGCGAAGAGGATGTTGGATGCGAACCCCTCAACCCACCTGGAAATACCGGTATTCGGAACACTATCAGTCCGAAATGTTTCAGAGTCAGAACCAAGAACTCAGCACAGGACCGTTTTTGGCTGCCACTACGACGGTGCCGGCATCCTGGACCTAGGATGCAGGTCACGGATCGCTGTTCACTGGCTTTTCAGGAAGACAGTATGAGACATTGATTGCACAGAGAGCATGTCGGCTGTCTGTCGGCCTTCTTGTCGAGGTCCGGAATCTTGTCAGCAGGAATGGTCTTGCCCACCTGAACACAGCAAGCAACCACAAGGATCGCTCGGTAGCATGATGGGCCTGGCACTGGGAGAACAAGGGCAGAATCGTGGTGCCAGCATGGCCACCTGCAACAATGCTCCGAAGTTGTGGGAAGTGCAGCAGCCATGTAGCACGCTGTCAGTGTCGAATCTCCGCATCGGCAGAAGTTGTCAAGCGTATCGCACTGAGTTGTCATACTTTCTGGCTAACAAGTATTGAATCTTGCCGGTGCAGAGCAGCCAAGTCAAAAGACCAAACACCCCCGGCCGAAGAGATTGCAGACAGCTATAAACCTCCACGATCAACGCCTGATGTAGTTCTGAAATTGCTGGCGCCAAGGAGCCGATCACAGGCACGCCGATGTCATCCATGGGAAGACCGGTCATCTCATGCACAAACTTGTCCGCTCGAACGACGTCGAGGGTTGTGACCTGACAGATGAGCTGAAACCTGCAATGTCGCAAGGCGCGAACCCTTGCAGCACAACTTCCCATGATTGTCCAGGATCGGGTGAATTGGAGCGTGCTGTGTAGACATGTGTGCATAGAATGTGCATTCGCATGTGCACCTGGGTTCTGGGTACCTCCGTTGATCTGCCTACCGGGCAATCTATCTCTCCAACCGCATCTGTCTGTATGTACATGACTACGTAAACAGATACAAAAAATGCCTACATGCACGGGTACGTATATGGTATATATGTATGTATATATATATATATTTATTTATTTATATTTATATATGCATATATATGTGTGTGTGTGTTCAGGTTATACATACACGTTCTATATAACAACAGTATCTATACTAGAAGCAGCAGCAGCAACAACAACAACAACGACGACGACAACAACAGCAGCAGCAACAGCCACGGCAACGTCGGCAGCAGCAGCAGCAGCAACAGCAGCAGCAACAGCAACAGCAACAGCAACAGCAACAGCAACAGCAACAGCAACAGCAACAACGGCAGCAGCAACAACAACAACAGCCACCTTCACAACCACGACGACGACGACGACGACCACCACCACAAAGACGGCAACGGCGACAACCACAACAACCGCAACAACCACAACAACAACAACAACAAGCACAATCACAACCACAACAAAAAACATAGTAATACTAACAAAAAGAAGAACGGTAATAGTAACAAAAATGAAAATAACAGTAAAAATGATACTGATAAGAAGAAGAATAATAATGTAAAGAAATGATGAAGAAAATTAACAGTAACAGTAATAATCGTAGTGGTTAGACATGGTATTGCTGATGATGATAATAATAAGAAGAAAATGGTATTACTCATCGTATGATAATAATAGTAATTGGTAATAACAGTTAACAATAGTAGTAATAAAAACTATAGTAGAAGTAACAACTCTAATTATGAAACCAGGAATGCATGCAGATACATGTGGATACAAATAAATTGCGTAAACTTTACGTCCATCGCACGTACACAGTCGCACACATGTAAGGGAGCTGAGGCTGCATCGCCCACGATCTTGGCCGGGTTCAGGCCTTTCAATGGGCATGAACCCTACTGTGCGACGGCCCCGCAGCAGCAACCGGCTGGCCCCTTGACAGGTGCTGAGGGGCTTGCCCTTCTTCTTCCACAGCTCGCACATGGCTGGCACTACGGAGTTCACAGGGTTCACAATGAGGCCAACCACTGCCTGGCAAAGCCGATGAAATTAGCCTTGAAAAGACTTCAGCTGGTCTCGAGAGTTTAGTGACGCGAGCTGGTGGGGCTCGGCCTCTGGGCAGTGCTTTGCACATGCCTCCACGATGTTCTTGGCCTGGGAATTTTGAGACCAGCATCAGTCGGGACTCTCTAAAACCTGTCGATCATATGAATCGGCCGCTCAGCCGCAAGCAATCCCTGCATTGATGTTGAGCAGATCTTTTCGGTCCTGTTCTCGGCTTCGTCGGCTCCCGCTTCCACGGCTCGCAAACAACGAAGCCCAAGCACCCTCAATCCCCTCTTCCCGGCCTGACCGGGTTTTCGGGGCACGCCGGCAGGGACAAGGACGAGGTTGCAGCCCTTCAGGCACTCGCCGGCCTAAGCTTGAACTTTCTGGAAGAGAACCCCAAATTCTGCAATTTGCAGTGCTCTTCTCGTCGCCTTGTCGATGGCCTTGTCATCCTTGTCGAAAGCGTAGCCCGTCACCTGTTGCATGAGGATACGCTGTCAAACCGTCGGCAGATGTCCGGAGCTTCCCTTGCAGTGAAGGCGTAGATAGGTCGGCCAAGCTACTGGGCCAGTTCAAATCCATCGGCACTCATCCAAGTCACCTTAGCCCTCCCAAACCTGAGCCTCCTCAAGCATCCGAAGTCAATTCGAGGGCACCTTGCACTTCTTGTTCAAGTGCGACAAGTCGGCGGCGACGCCCGCGGCCGGGACCATGGCCAGGGTCAGGTCCTCCACCCATTTCCGGGAGAAACACTCAGTTTTCTACCTCACTCTTTTGTTACCTCCTCATGATTCCAAGAATTCCGTGGGTTCGATACCCTAAACCCTAACTTAAATTCAGCCCGAAAGCCCTGAGTCTTACTGTTCTTCCGAGGCCGCCACGTAAACGCAGAGTTCGGAGACCTAAGAGGTCCCATGTGCAGGGAGCCGGGAGAATCGGACTACCCGGAGGTTAAGGTTTACGGGAAGTGAATATTATCAACTTCCGGTATATGGTGCATAGACACATCTACACAGCCTGCGATTACAGGTCAGCGCCGGCAACTCGAAATGTTAGAGAGGCAAACTAAGTCCACTGGAAATGCAAGAAGCTGCCGTGGAGGAGATGCGAAAATACTTCATGCTTGACAAGAATCGACAAGACAGTTTTGACGACTTCGAGAAGTCTCAGCTACAGCATGGACCTCCTGGACTTTGGTAACTATGACAACTATGACATGTAGTAGAGAATCAGCCCATGCTCGGCACCCGGCATTGGGATCCATGGCCATCAGCATGCTCAGAGGCTGGCCAATGCCACCCGCACCACCGACCACGCAAACCTGGAAAGATTTCATCAGCACATCGGCGAATTAGGGAGGTGCACATGCGATTCCTGTCCATGAACCGTCTCGAGCCTTGAAGTTTCCCGCCATGTCTGCGTGCGTGGCACGACCAAGTCAGGACTTTGAGGTCAAAATGGCTACGGCAGTCGAGATGCGATTGCAGTACCTTGCAGCTTTCACAGCAAGCAGCAACAGAGCTTCATGCAAATCCAGGAGCACGGATCAAGGCCAGGATAGCTCGAGCCTGGGACCAGGGCCTGCTGTAGCCGTCATTCACCTGATGCTCAGAAAGCGTGAAACCCTGGGCGACTAGCTACTAGACTTACCACGCTGACTGAAGAAACCCTAAACCCTAAACCCTGCAAACCTTCTAAAGGCCAAAACGCACGTGAACCGTCGTCCCACCCTATACACCTTATGCACTAAGCCTAAAGGCTGACTGCACCCCTTGCGGAAAGTCTTCTGAGGCCGAAAGGCGTGCTTGGAGTGCCCGAAGTCCGAGATCTTCACCTGGAGCAAGCCAGGCTGGGACCTCGGAGCAAGCATCTTCGTGTATAGGTTGAGACGAAGAGCAGAGAACACAGCAGAGCGTAACAGAAGGGTTTTGGGGTTTTGGGTTTAGGGTTTGGGAAAAGAAGATAGCAGGAGGATACGAAGAATAGTCGTGCTGATTACTGATTACTCGTGCCAGCAGAGCCTGTGGGGCTTAGGCTCGTCCTTCGAAGCGGGTTCGGTGTGCCCCATCGACAGCAAGCAAAGCCGCATCAAAAGCAAAGGAAAGAGATGTCAAAGTAGAATTTGGGGTTTGGGGTTCAGATATTACAGTAAGGGGCTGGCAACAGGACAGCCTCGAGGGCTCATAGCTCTGAAACAGAGACCCAGATCCTGACTTGACGCATGTAGAACTGCTGGACTTGAGTTGAAATTCTCCGTAATCAATATAAAGTTGGTGGTTTGCCATTATGGCGCTCGAAACTTGCATGACAGTTCCAGCCGTTTGGCTCTGTCTTTTGGTGCCTAGTAATCCGAAAGAAGAGGTGCTTGTTAGTTTGTAGGCTTTAGCCTTTATGTCGTCACTGATGAATGTTCTAAACTCGATTGGTAATAAGACGCGCCGAAGAACTTTTCAGCCACAGAACCAGACTTGCACACGGTGCCAGCTTGCACAGACGAAACCCGTGGTTTCGAATTCTGTGGAAACGCATTTTCAGAAGAGCTTCTACGCTTTTCTGCCCTCGTCGGTCTATGTCTTGACGGCTTCAAGCCATCACCTGACAGTTTAATGAACCCCAATACCTTGACCCAATGCCGAAGCCTTGAACCAAGTCATGAAACACAGGACCTTACAACCCAAGCCTTAGTGCGCAGTTTTGCGAGGACTGTCTTTGCGTTCAGGAGGCTTAGTTCCAAAACCTCAGGGCGACATCGGTTGCGAATAGCGACTTTGAGAAGCGAGTTTCTACCAAAAGTACATTCGATTTGCGCCCTGTCATCTTGCAGCGATGCTTGCCGTTTGGATTTCTGGATTCTTCCCACATCTTCGGGACAGACACGTGCGGCTTGCGTTGGGCAACTAGTCTTCAAAGCTTTTGGGCATGGCACCTGGGATTCGCGCGTGTAAGCCGCTTGCCGCAGACTGTGTTTTCCAAAACTGTGGCGGGGCGCAAGTTAAAGAAAGCTTCCAACAAAGGTCGACGCCGATTAATTGCAGACAGCACAAGACTAATACGTGGGGACACCTACGTAGAGGGAAAGTGACAGAACATGGAATTGCTCAGCATGCCGCAAAGCTTTGTCCACCAAGACATTCTCCAGTTTGAGATCTCGATGCACCTCGGACAGACACAGGTTGTCTTGCTCGTCTGTCCCTCTCAGTTCACCTCCGGACTACGGATCTCAAGAAGTTCGCCGTCACGCCCCTGTTGAGTAAAACATTCGGGTTTCCAGAACTGTCCGAGATCTGGGCCACGCCCTTGGAGTGGATGTATCTGAGACCTTTTGGCTGCCACCCGGTCCCACGAAAACTGCAATGCCACCAAGGCTCTGGCCAAGAACTATTTGCAGAAAAACGTATCTTGCCTGTCATCGGTAGCATGCAGGGTATGCTAACCGCAGCATCCACATGAGCATGAAAGGACAAAAGAGGCAAAACTGCTCTTGCGGCTGGTGGATAAGGAAGAAACGGCAGCAGACGGCCTCATGTTCTGGTAAAGGGCCGTTTTTGTCGATCTCCTGCGCAAAATAACATTTCCGCTGACAGGCAATGAAACGGGCACTGGTTGGGCAGGGACTCTTTCTGCTGTCTGCTATGATGCACCCCAGACGACACCAAAATCAAACCTGTCAAAACGAACCAGAACCCACCCTGGCAATGTGCCAGGCAGACGTCGATGAGTTCACCACCATCCACGAACTCCATGACCAAGAAGCGCCTCCCAGCAGGCGTGCTGCCCGCAGCGTGGGGTTTTATGCTGGAAATCCAAACGATCCAAGCAGAGTGGCTCCGAGCCAAAAGCAAGCAAGCCTCTCGAACGTTTCGTGCACGTCGTACAGGGATACCACCTAGACTCGACCAGAAGGCGCCAATTCTGATTGATCGAAACAGTACGGCCTGGCCGATGTTTTTTACCGAGGAGGGCTTGCCCGAAGCAGAGCCCTTGAGACCCGAGGTCCTGGCCAAAGCAGCGGGTCTTCTGAGGCCTGCGCGTGCGGGTGGCGCATGGAGAAAAGGATGGCAGACCTGGGAGGAGAAGTTCGTGTCAAGCAAATCTATCGAATCCGCTTCTGCCGTTTGAGATGCCATACTTTTTCGTTGCAACAAACTCTTGGTTGCTTGCGGAACTGGCTGGCCAGTGCCAAGGGGAGACATTTTTTTGTCGTCCCCTTGACAACGAAGCAGACGTGCAGATCCTAGCTGGTGCGCAGCAAATCAAAACGACTCATTCAAATGCATTGAACGTGGCTAGGATGCACGGCGGTGGAGTCCAACGACCTCTCGGCACGGACTTTTAAAACGGTGGTATGACGATCTTGTATCGCCAGAAGCGCAGACTGGCAGCGCTGTAGTGAAGGTCGGCTGAGATCAACTGACCGTTCCATTAAAAACACGCGGAACGTGAGAAAACTTTGACGCACGTCTCGCGGTTTTCATGGCTTAGACCACCGACCACCACCTCTATGCCTGCATCAATACAAGCTACACAACTCTGATCACACATGAGCGGCTTCACTGTATCCAAGCATGTACATTCTCTCTCTGCAGCTTGGCAACTTTTTCGGCGACCTGCTGTTAGCAGAACATTCGCGCATCCCTGCCATCGTCCTGACAAGTCTTGGGCAACCTCCCGTGAACCACAAGGATGAGTTGGAGGAAAGGGTGCAGAAACCCTGATTCAACATTCAATTTCTGGGCGTTCCGTTTGCACCGGCAAGACAAATCTTGAAACTCGGCAGTCCTTGATTCCGACCACGTGCCCCCTTAGCGCCGAGCTCTGCTAGCATGATCTCTCCCCATCGCAACTATTCCACGAAACGCCCCTTTCCTTGTGACCGTCCTGGCCTTCTCAAAAGTTCTGAACCCATGCGTATTTGCGATTTTGGCAAACTCCGGACAGGGTGCAGTCGGCTAGTGGTACACTTGTGCTGCAGGTGGTGTGGCGAACATGTAACAGCAGGTAGCAAGGAGTATTCCTGCATCGAACACAGACCTGCCTGTTGGGATTCCAATCAGTGAATCCCGCTAGAGCTTGATGGCGACACTGGTTAAGCTAAGGGACACGATGGCCTGTGCGACATCCAGCGCAAGGAAACGGCCAGGGCAAATCCGAGGGTACACGGTCTCCTGGTAGCAGTCTGGATGTCATCGTGAAGATGCTTGATCAGGACGCATTCTGACTACCATAGACTTCCAGGCACTAGCCGTCATCGTAGCCATGAGCGCTGCGGCAACACTTCTTCCAGCGCTTTTACAGAACTCTGGTCTCCGGTTGTCTCCCGGTCTGCTCGCTGAGCCTGTGTGGCTGAATGCCTTCACAGCCCGACTAGTATGCAAGAAACCAGACGGCCCACTTCCACGTGTCCAGCAGAGAACTATGTAAACTGGCAATGAATATGATGTAATCTACAGGGCTTGTCAGGTGCCTGCCCGGCTCAGAGAATCAAAGTCTATGAAACCCAGGCTCGATTGCATCATCTATCCCGTGAAATTAAGCAAGTCGTCCAACATCCGCCAGTAACGCGCACGTACATGACATGCCACATCATGCTCTCCTCGCTCCTGCTCAGGGTATTGAAAACAGAAGTACGAGTTTCCCAAGAGCCCCAAAAGTCAGGCGCCTCATTGGGGGTGCCAAAAGCACCATTCCACGTAAGGGCTTGGTCCAGCTCCTGCTTGATAAGAGCCCCAGAAGCACAAATCATAGGCGAGCATGAAATGAACATAACTCCTGAAACCACGTTCGAGAGCAAGGCGCCTAAGGAAGCCGCTTCGAGGATAAAAACCAAAACTTAGATCAAACTTCTCTTATCAGCCTTTGAGTTTCAAACAATCGTAAGGCAAGAAGATTCGGCTTCCTGCAAGCTGCTATGAAACACATCCAAGATCATCAAGCGCCGACAGACATCTGGGGGTCTTCTCATGTTCAAGCACGAGGTCTTCGACCGAGTGCCAAGTTCATTTAAGCACAAACAGTCAGAAGCTCTTTATACCCTCATTACGTCTTTGCACAAGACTGCCCCCTTAGCGGAATGAGCTGGCCTTGCGGGTAGGATCGAAGACATCTGGCTTCTCGAAGATCTTGGTGTCTCGGTTTGCCATGGAGATGACGTACTGGTTCAGTGTCTCCGGCGGCATCGTGTATGGGATACCCTTGAATAGGAGCTCCTGAGCGGAGGTCGGGCTGCGAGAGCTACGAGAAGCGATCGTACTAGCTCAGCCAAATCACCCGCTCGTCGGGGTCAACGCGAGTGCAGCTTGTCACCGGCGGGTCAATGCGACAAGACTCCTGCGCCAAGCGACGATTGGCGAATTTGAAACACAAGACGACGAGCTGATGCTGCCTCTGTAGCATGTGAACTAGGCTAAGGCAAACAAAAACAGGTGGAAAGCCGTCTGCCGTGGAAAGCATCACCCAAGCCAACAAAACACTGAAATATACCAAAAAGAGGCCACACAGAGCCCAAATCTCAGAAAATGATGCTCGCTCCATGATGATTCCATGTGCGTTCGTTGCTGTTACGAGTGCTGTAGTCCGCAGCATTGCGTAGCACCACCTGAACCAGTTCGACGAACAAACCCACAAATTTGCATTCTTCGGAAGCCGATTAGAGGGTTTTGGCTTCCCGAATACTTGCGGAACGAGGCGGGCCTTGATGTACTTCACCGGACTGGCTTTGTATGCCTCCAGCATGTCTTCAGTCGTGGGATACCTTGGCGTCCAAAGGTTCCAACCACCTCCTGCCTGCCGCCTGCACGATCTCTTATGTGCAGACATGCTGCTTCTCGAAGCTAATCAGATGGGCGCTCGCTTCTTCGGGGATCTTTCCTTCCATTCAGAATTCACTGCCACGTGATCGAAAACTGTGAATTGAGTTTCTGCTTTCGTGGCAAACGCATGCGCTCCAGAAATCAAGGCGGAGAGGAGACAAGAGCATCCGAACGAATCTTGCATCCAAAGCAGCTCTGAAGGAAAGCGCCCACTGTCTCACAGCAAGCACTCGTCCCACCGATGCCAGCAAAGCCCACAGCAAACCTTGGCTCGTGGCTGTCGGACCCTGAGCTGCTCCGGGGTTGTGTCGTCGTGTCCTTCAGCCTACAGCCTTGACTTCTGCAAATCGCACGGGCATGACAGGAAGGATACACACTTACGCTCATGTGTGCATATGTATATATATATATATAAATCTATGTAATGTGTGTGTGTGTGCGTGGGCGCATGGTGCATGCATGCATACATACATACCTAATATACCTACATGCCTAAACACACCTACCCACCAACCTACTCATCTACCTACCTACAGACCACAGACTGACAAAGATTCATTCAGTCATTCGTCATTTCATTGACTCGCTCACTCACTCACTCATTCATTTTCGTCGTTCACTTATTCACCCTTACATGCATGTGTGCACTCATGCACACATTGCATCATAGTAGTTGTAGTAGTAGAAGTAGTAGAAGCAGTAGTAGTAGCAGCAGCAGCAGTAGTAGTGGTGGTAGTAGTAGCAGTAGTAGCAGTAGTAGTAGCAGTAGCAGTAGCAGTAGCAGTAGGCAGTAGCAGTAGCAGTAGCAGTAGCAGTAGCAGTAGCAGTAGCACTACTACTACTACTACTACTACTACTACTACTACTACTAACTATTACTGCAACTACTATTACTGCTACTACTACTGCTGATGGC